CAGAGTGGGATGATGCAATGGTTTTCGTAGATTTCTTTCTTTTCTTTTCTTTTTTTTCTTCAAATAGTACGGCATAACGGTCGGGAATGTCCACCGATTGCCTGAATGAAACACGTATACCGGCAGATTGATTGAAATAATCCATTCGTTATTCTTCTTGTAATTTCTTTCCTTTTCTTGATTCAGGTCTCTGGTAGCTATGCAAATTCAATTTTGCTTACCTTATTTAAGTTCAAATTTAATTAATTATCAAACTGTTTTTGTTAATTATTAATTTATAAAAAAAATAAAGTTAAGTGTAATTGTTACACAAAATATATATATACACAAAAATCGGCCAAATTAAATTCATTAATATAATAAACTGATATTTATGTATATGTTTGGCTCTTCCAATTTAATGACTAAAATTTAAGGAACTTTAATTAACCAAATTGAATTTAGCTAGAGCAATTCATCTGTTTCATGTCTACCCATTATACATAAGGGACAATAAGGCTACAACTTTTCAATTCAAATATAGTTTGTTAGTTAGTAGATTAAGAGTGTGTTTATTTGAGTTTGAATATAAAATCATGTTCTTTTTACTGCATATCTTGTACTTATTCGGCCAACTTACGATTTGGAGCAACATATTTCATACGGATAATCAATATATATTTATATAGTACAATATATTTTGTATTATAAATATATTAGAGATATGTATAAATATATGGTAATTATCGGTCCGATCAAATCAGCAGACTTGATCGAATCAACCGTTGATTCATGCCTATATTTTTTAAATACAAAATTCAATTAACTAGTAAGAATATGAAAAGAAATTCTCAAACAAATTAACCTTAGATTCCACAAGATTACTTATAACTCTCGTTCGATTTGAAATGTACATTTCATATTACCGCAAAAATTATAAATGTACATTTTATGTTGTGTTTGTAAATATCAAAGTTATTGCTATATATATTTTTAATTATCAATAAAATATTATTATTTAAAAAAAAAATAAAAAATAACAAATGTTTACTTTACAGTTTAAGGGAAGAGTATAAAATTTATTCAAATACTGATCAACATGTATATATATATATATATAGCGCTGAATTGAACTAAATCTCTGACTAGATCTTGAATCAATCCCAAATTTTCTTGATCATCTCACTTCGTCAATCACAATATGACTGATCAAAACCCAGCTTCGTCGTCATCAACGAAGCCTGCAAATGATAATCGCGCCGTCGACTCTCCGTCAAAACGACGTCGGACGCCGCCGCCGGTATCGGTTATGGACGCCGATTACATTTACATGAACTTTCTCCCCCCAATAATTCAATTGGAAGAGGAATGGAGCAATTTCCCGCGCAAGTATCGGAAGTCGTCCGGCGGCGCCATCGCCACTCACGCGCCGCTGCCCAAATTAGCCACCGGAGACAAAATTAAAAATCACGCGCCACCGCCCGAAGTAACCGGCAAAAATTTAAATCCAAGCCAAGCGGAACCGCCGCCGGATTGCGGAAGTCCGGAATCATTGCCGACCGGAATTCCGCCGGTGCCGGACGCCGACGGCGACGAGTTCTTAGAGCAAACAGGCCAAAATTTTCCCGACGAGAGTAGTAGCAACTCTAAAGAGTTAGTGAAGAGCGATCAGGCCACCGCCGCCGACGGCAGTAGCATTGATACACCCGTCGGCGGCGCGTCGGATATAACATGCCCTCATTGTGGCGCGTGGTTCACAACGACCGGTGATCTATTTCAGCATATGATATCCGTCGACGGATGCAAATTTCAATAACACCGGCGTTTGATAACAGCCTGCAGGAACGACCGCCGCTGCCGCCGATTGCCGGAATTAAGGACACTGTCACGGCGGCCCTGTTAATAATAGAAACAATGTCAGGTAATTGTACGAAGAAGAAGAATAATAATCCAGTTTTTAGGCTATGATTTCTTTGAACTTTTTTATTTCTATTTTTTTTTAATATATTGTTTTATATTATTTTTTTATTTAAAACATTTACCAAAAATACAAATAAAAAATAAAAATAAAAAACAAAACTCTTCAACTATAAAAATAACATTTTATAAATGGTTGAATATTTTTTTCAATAGCAAAAGGACACACTCTTATTAAAACAACAAGTAAAACCCTTCCATTTATTACTCCTTCCGTCCCAGATACCGATACCTTGTCTGCTACACTGTAGACACCGTATTTCATGAGAGATGTAATTAGCAGATAATTTAAAATATATTAGTAAAAATAATTATCCTATAATATAAATAATTATAAATTAAGATTAAGATAACTAATTAGTTTAATTAAAATTAAAAATAAAATAAAATTTAAAAATTTAAAATGAGATTAAAGTGTGTAATAAAATTAAAAAATTTAAAATGAGATTAAAGTGTATAATCATTTTCGAAAAAAAGAAAGTGATATGGCACGTGGAACAAACAGAAATGGCAACGTGAACATGGTATTTGGGACGAGGGAGTATTATATTTTTTATAAAAAAATCTTCATTTTGTTGTTGAATATACACAAAACCCTTAAATTTATTATTTTTTTAATAAAAAATCTTCATTTTGCTGGTGAATATATTCATTTTGTTGTAAATTTATGTTTGTATTGTTTTGATTCAATATTTGTGATTTTTTTACTTTCATCTAAATAATATTTTAATATAATATTTATAAAAATATATTTTTTTTTAATAAAAATTGTACAAAATACTAATATTGACATAAATATGAACCAAATTCTATGTTTCTTTTCCATAAAATAAAAATATTTATATTATATATATTTTTCTTTAAGTATTTTAAAATTACTCAATAAAAATATAACATAATTCTCATGAAAAACCACTGTCCAACTATTTTGTTTAGTAAAATTTAAATTTGATTTATTACTAGTATTATTATTATTATTATTATTATTATTATGAAAAAAAAATCAATTAAATCTATCTTAAGTAACTATGGAGAATTGATTATGTGGTGAATGATTACATATCAATTTTTTATGATTAGAGAATAGATAAATATGGAGAAAATAAATTAATCATTACTTTTAAAATTATACTAATTATTTCCCTCTTGTTATTAAATCAATAGTCACAGTGATGATGTAAGATTCTCAAGTAGGTTTTATTTGACACCAATATAATTTTTCATTATTTTAATTTTTTAACTGCTTAATCGATGAACATGATCATCATGAAATTCTTGGGAGTGTTTTCTAGTTAAGGTTTTATTTGGGCAATGTATTCACTTTGATTTTTATTTTATCTTTTTCATTTTGGTATTTTGGATTTGAATTTTATTTTATTTTTTTAATAATAATTTATATGAAAATGTATTATATTTTTATTGAAAATTATGAAAATTCAATAAAAAAAGAAAAAGTAAAAGTTAAATATATAATAAAATATTTTGTAATAAAAAAAATTACATTTTTACGAAAAATATAAAATTCAAATAGTAGAAACTAGTGAATTTTGGTGAAAAGCACGCACGTTTTTTAATTGAAAATTAATAATAATTAAAAAATTAAAAAAAAATTGACACATGTCCATTTTATTATCTATAATATAAAACATAAATAAATAATTGATACATGTCCAGTTTATTATGTGTAATGATATATGCTTTGACTATGGGTAGGCATTAAATGCATACTTACAATTCTCTCCGTTTCATAAGTAAATATTTATTTATTTTTTTATGTAATTTTAAAAATATTAGTATTATAGTGGGATATAGTAGAAATAAAGTAATAATGATTAAAATAATCTTATTAGTATGTGTTATATGAAGGTAATGATATATGTGTAATATATTGTAAGTTGTAAGGGTATTTATAACGTTATGTAGATAGTTCAGTTATTAAAAAAGAAAATGGATACTTTGTTATGAGATGACTAAAATAAAAAAATGAATACTTGAGAAAGTATTAATTATGAGAAAAAATAACTAGTGTATATGATATTTTATACCAAAAACAAGTATAAAGTAGATGAATTATAAAGTAAAAAATATAAAAAAATTATATAGTAAAATATATTCTCTCCGTCCCAAAAGAAACGATCTTATTGAGTGTTAACACAGAAATTAAGGAATAATAATATTTAATTGAAAGTGAATATAAAGTAGAATATAAAAGATTAAAAGTAATAATGAGGGATAAATTGAAAAAGTAAGAAATAATTTTTTGTTATAAAGTGGGGACCACATTTACTAAATAAGAAAATGAGACAATTGTTTTAGAATAGACAAAAGTAAAAAAATAAAGACAACTCTTTTGGAACGAAGAAGTACTAAAATTATTAAAATGGGTTAAATTTGTGGTAACATGTATCTTTGCTCACCTCCCTTTACAAATAAAGTGTTGAACCAACCCGCTTCACTAAACATTTTTCAAACAGTAGTCGTGGGCCAGCTCAACTCAGATCCATCTCAGACAGTTCTAATTTTAAATCTTATTTGTCAAAAATAATTTGAAAATTGGCATTTAAACTTTTGGTAAAATTAAAATTTTTATGAAGTAAATCAAAATTATAATAAATATAATATTTTGTTACATTTACAATGTAACAACATAAGTTAAGACGTTCTGGTTGGCTCGTCCCGATATGACTTGCTCCTGTTAAAAAAAAGTGTCAAGTAAATTATAACTTGCTCTCGCTTGTATGACGAAACCATCAAATTGTAGATATTCTTTTGGAGTTTTTTTTTTTTTTTTTAATATTTAAATATAATATTTTATAAAATGAAAATAATATTTTTAAGAGAAAATTACAATTAAGATGCAAAAAGTGGGATAAACAACACTTGGGGAGGGGACATCAAATGTTCCTTAAAAATTACACATAAATCAAACAAACGAGATATATAAGAGAACTAATTATTATGCCCATCTTCCAAGCACACCCACCCCACCCTGTCACCAACTTTTTAACAAATTGGCATCTAATTTTTATTACTATTCGTATTATTTATATATTTTTGTCCAATTGAAAACTCACAACTTCTCTCAAACTTTCCCAATTTCTTCAATGGTCGCCGCCTGTGCTGAAGAAAAGGGAGGAAGAAAGAGGCGACCAAATTAATTATCTGTCTATCTGGATCTTGTCTTACTTCCTTAATCATCACAACCATCATTGTCTTCCATCAATTCTACACTTGTTTCTCGATTTCTCTTTAGTTTAATTTCCGGCGACGACGGTAGCTCGATCGAAGCTCCGGTAGCAAGTCTGTCTATGTCGGGAGATTTCCAGTTTCTGGGAGCTGGCTGAGGTTCTCTTCTGGTAAGATTCTTCCAATTCGAGTAGATTTTGTAAGATTTGATTCATCGCTTGTTGTTTTTAGCTTTGATATTTTTTTATTTTTTTTTTGGTTAATTGAATTATGGCGATTGAGTTGCTTGGTAGCAAGATTGTTTTGGATCTGTTTATTGAATTTGTGTTTTTTCACGATCTGTGGAAGCTTCCTCATCCTATAATTTATGCAAATTGACTTATAATCTTTGGAGGTTTTCGAACAGAGTTGAAAATAATTGTCCGATTGAATTGCTGAAAACTCAAATCGTTTTGACCTAAGGAAGGGCATTAAGGGTTGGATTAAAAATCAAATTGGAGTTAAATGTAACTATTTGGCAATCAGATAGACTAAACCTATTTAGTGACCTATTAATTTGTCGAGCTTAAATGTATTTAGTAAATGCCGGCCTCCTCAGCAGAAATCCGATAACTTATTAGTTGGGTGATGAGTCAATTAATAATAAAGAATATAAATTAGGATTGTGATCCCGAAGTTTAAACGCATAGTCTATTACTTTTCATATGTCAGAGTAACGGAATAAATCTTAGCGGTTTCTGAGGAGGGATTGTTGTATAAATTTGAAGAACACAAAACCTACGACAATTTATAGATTCGAATTCGACTATGCTGAAAAATAATGTTAGATTTATTTTGCTTTATTTTTATCTCAATAAGTTCCAACATTAACTTAACTGTGTATTTAATTTGATCAATTCCCCCGTGAATCAAAAAGAATGAGTGAATGCCTTTTGGGGGAGACAATTAAATGCTCTTACCGTCTACATTGAAACCAGATTGAACCTTTTTGTGATTCTTGTCTGGTCCTGGACATGTTTGCTGTCTATATAATTCTCTAGATGCATCACTGTCTCGACGGTCAAGGGCGTGGTGGTGCTGGTAAGACGGGCATGAGGAACAAGCACCGGAGGCGAACTTCTTGGCCGTGCAATGCCGGACTCAAATGTTCGATGCCTCTTGCGATCGCCTGCCTCGTCGGGATCCTCTTGATGCTTCACTTGTACACATTCACGACGCAAACAAATGTAATCTCAAACGAGGTGGATAGAGTGGGGAAGATCAACCGCGTGCTTTTACGCGAACTAGAAGTTGTCGAGGAGGAAAACATTCAAATGCCGCCTCCAAGGAAGAGATCTCCGCGCGCCGTCAAGAGAAAACCGAAGCCCACTCCTACGTTGATCGATGAGTTTCTAGATGACTCATCCCGGATTAGGCATGTGTTCTTTCCCGGCATAGAAATGGCGGTCGATCCTACGAAGCATGATGTCGGGAATGACACGTTCTACTATTATCCCGGGAGAGTGTGGTTGGACACCGAAGGACGACCTATTCAAGCCCACGGTGGAGGTGTTTTATACGACGAAAATTCGAGAACTTACTATTGGTACGGCGAGTATAAAGACGGCCCGACTTACCACATTCATAGGAATGCGCCGGCACGGGTAAATTCTTTCTCCCGATATGTCGTTTATATATAAATAAATAATACTTCCTTCGTCCACTGATAATCTTCTGATTTACTTTTGGGACACGAATCTAAGTATTTTAGTATTTCGTTGAAGTATAGGACAAATGATGTATGTAAAGACAATTTTGTCATTATCTTTTTGTGTAAAAGTAGGAGTATTTATGTGGAATGTAACTTTTCTAAAATATAGAAAATAAAAATTTTGAGTAGACAGACTAAAATAGAAAAATGAAAAATGAAAAATGAAAGGATTGCATATTCTTACAAGCTTAAGGTTTTATGTAAGATAGTCACTTGACTTGGTATTAAAACCAGCTTTTAAGTGAGATGGTTATTTAACAGATATCTTTGCATGTTTTTGCATTTAACTCGATTTCAATCTAAATCACATTCGTTTTCTATCGAACATTTAGGTTGATGTCATCGGCGTCGGATGTTATTCTTCGAAGGACCTATGGGCGTGGAAAAACGAAGGCATTGTTCTCACGGCTGAGGAGAAAAATGAGACGCACGACCTCCACAAGTCAAACGTGCTCGAGAGGCCGAAAGTAATTTACAACGACAAGACGGGGAAATACGTAATGTGGATGCACGTCGACGATGCAAACTACACAAAAGCCTCAGTCGGCGTGGCCATCAGTGACTCGCCCACCGGCCCGTTTCGCTACCTCTACAGCAAACGCCCCCACGGGTTCGACAGCCGGGACATGACCCTCTTCAAAGATGACGACGGCGCGGCCTACCTCATCTACTCGTCGAACGACAACAGCGACCTCCACATCAGCCCGCTCGACGATGACTACGTCGACACGACGAACGCGGTGCGAAGAATCCTGATCGGGCAGCACCGCGAAGCGCCGGCGCTGTTCAAGCACCGGGGGACGTATTACATGATCACGTCGGGATGCACGGGATGGGCTCCGAACGAGGCGATGGCGCACGCGACGGAGTCGATCATGGGGCCGTGGGAGACGATGGGGAACCCGTGCGTTGGCGGGAACAAGATGTTTCAGACGACGACGTTTTTTGCGCAAAGCACGTTCGTATTGCCCGCGCCGGGGCTGCCGGGGCTGTTCGTTTTCATGGCGGACCGGTGGAATCCGGCGGATCTCCGGGACTCGAGGTACGTGTGGCTGCCGTTGATGGTCGGCGGCGCGGCGGATAAGCCGCTGGACTATGATTTTGGGTTCCCGTTGTGGTCGAGAGTGTCGATATATTGGCATAAGAGATGGAGGATTCCTACGCCAGGCGAATGAGGGGTTTTTTTTTTTTTTTTTTTTTTTATTTTATTATTTATTTTATCCATATTTTTGGGATTATAGAGTTAGTTGTAAATTTTATGGTTAGGGTATTATTGTTGGTGATAATAATTCTTGGATGATATATATATATATATATATGGAGATAGAGTTGATGTTTGTAAGTCATGCTTTATTAACTAATGCAAATAAACACGTTTTTATTGGTTAGGATAGTCGGCAAAAATAAATACAAATACGGATTTGAGCTTAGGAATAGCCACAAACCAAATAATTATATACTATTAAAAAATTTAAAATGTGATAGACATCATATTTGGGAACAGATTAGAAAGATTTGATTTAAAATGAATTTTAAATGGACTGTACATTATATACACAAATGGACATGCCAGATTTGGATCTGCAGCGAGTTTGGTATGGGCTCCCGGGTAGGGTCATGGGTCGAGGCCCATGTCAATAGAGGCGAAACACTTTGTTTTGGGGATTGGATTTTGGTTTGGATGGATTTGCAATGTAAATAAATGTTGGATATAATAAAAATAGGTTTTGATACAAATTTTTTAATATAATATAAAAATAAAAAATCAGAATTTTATTTCAAATTTTTGAAAGATTTTTTATGAATACTAAAAACTTTTTATAAAAATCTACAAAAAACAAGCAAGGTTTTTTTATATTAAAAATATATATATATATAATAAACAGTTGACACTTTTGAAGAAATTTTAATGGTTTGTTTAGTTGGTGATTTTATTTATTTAATTTTGTTACGATCTTTTCAATAATAGCTTGAATAAAATATTTTATAAATAAATATAAAAAAATAGTGTAACTTAAAGAATCTTAAAATATGAATAGTAAAAAAGATAAAATAATTATTCACCAAACAATTATTAGAATTTAAAAAAAAAATCGTAAACAAACGTATCCTAAAATTTTGACAAAACGAGAAATACATACGTACATGTATATGAATGGCTGGATTCATCTCTGAAGTTGAATGCTATAATTAATACACATCTTTAGAAATAAATGGAAATTATTTACGTGCGAATAATTACAACGCAATAAATAAATATACATATATGTGTTCGATCCGTTGCTCAAAGGCATTAATCCGTTGCTCAAAGGCATTAACTATAATATCAGTATTTGGATTTGGGTGAATTATTATTATCCTACCAAACAATCTTTTCACTAAAAATTATTACCAAACAATCTTTTCAATAAATGTAAATTAATTTTTAAATATTAAATCAAAATAATATTTAAACTAAAATTAAATAAAAAGACTCAAATTGTTTTTGTGTTTAAGTTAGTCTATCAAGACCATTAATCATGTTTTTGTTACTTTGATAATCTATCCAAAATTTTAGAGAATATTTAACCAGTAGACCATCCATTTCAAGAAAATATATATATATAGCAATCAAGTTAGGCTTCTGAAAATTCTGCCAAGACATTGGTGTTATACCAAAAAAAAAAAGTGTACTGAATCCAAATTTATTAAAAACAAAATTTTAATTTTAATTTTAATTTCAATTTCGACCATTCGAATATAGTAAATAGATACTTTTCAAAAGTTATAAAAACCTTTGAAGTTATCTCGGACGTGTTTGTTTGGATTTTGATGGTTTAATTTGAAGTGGTGACGTGGAGCTCGAGCAAATCTTTTAATAATTAATTATATTCACATAATTCAATTAAGCATAATAATAATAATAAGACAAACAATAAACAAACCGTAACCTCAAATATTAATTTAATAAAGAATTAAATAGCATATCATTGGGTACAATGAGGCATCAGCCACACGTTTATAGAATGGATAAAACCACAAGAATTCAACGCTGACTAGGTTACACGTAATTCCACGTTTTTAATATTTCCCCGCCAGCTCTCTCTCCACGCTGTTCCACGTCACCATCTTCCTCTCTCACACAGACATATTCTCTTTCTATGTCTATATATATATATGGCGATTTTCTGACAGCACGAGTTCTTCTGTATTTCTCTCTCTTTCATTTCAATTCATTTTCAGGAGGCTCGGAAGAAAGCCGATCATCCCGTCGTCGCATTGAAAATCTTAGCAGGAATTGGCTCGGGGTGCAGGAAAGTTTTATACAACTTGGATATAGATCCAGAATTGCGATACGGTTTGGATTCACCTTCAAACTCTCTAATCGATATCGTCAGATCGTGTTTCTCCGCCTCGAGTTATTTTCTGGAAGGATTTGGAAGAGGTGCGATGATTTCTGTTATTGATTTCAATTTCTGTTTGATTTTAGAGAAAATGTATCGATTGAAGGAGTAGTTAGGGTTCTAATTGGGGGAAAATCAACCATACATGTGAAGATATTTTTGCATTTAATTCCTAGAACAATCGTAGTCGATGCCTGCTAATTGAACGATCATCGATTTGTCTGTGTCGCAGCAGATAATATATAATTGTGGACAGAATGGATTGCAAGGAATGCCCCACGGTTCTAGAGAAATCGATGCCTATTCCACCTCCATTGCCTAAATTCAACTCCAGATTGCATCACAAAGGTTTGGTAAGAACCAAATCAAACATTACAGGAGAAAATCATTTATCTCCCCCAGCCGCAACCGCCGGAAATTGTTTACTGGACCGTCTCTTCGATGAAGCTTATCGAGCAGATGTTTCGATTCAAACAGATGGTGGCGGTGTGATCTACGCCCACGCGAGCATTCTCGTAAGTTGTTAATCGAATCGAAGCATCTCTTGCTACTTCAATCTGATCACAAATGGAAATTTGTTCATCGGTTCCTGGTTTTTGAAATTGCAGGGGATTTCTTCTCCAGTCTTCGAAGCTATGTTGAAGAGATCAAACCGGTGGGATCGCAGGCGGCGATCGATTCCTATTCACGGTGTTCCCCCAGAGGCTGTTTGCATTTTCATTAGATATTTATACTCATCCTGGTAACCAACAATTCGCCTGCACATTACTGTAATTCTCTGAGATTGCATAATGTGTATATACATAAACAATGCCTGATATCAAATACTTTGATATCTGCAGCTATGAAGAAGAAAACATGAAGGAATTTGCACTACCTTTGCTTGTTCTGTCCCACGTCTATGCCGTCCCTAAGCTAAAGCAGTTATGCGAGTGGTGGCTCGAGCACAAATGGATGACGACAGAGAATGCAGTCGACATATTCCAACTCTCGTTGCTGTGCGACTCGCCTCGCCTCAGCCTAATGTGCCATCGTTTCATCCTGTCAAATTTGAAGGCAGTTTGTGCCTCGGACGGATGGAGGGACATGAAGGAGAGCCATCCGGTGCTGGAAAAGGAGATTCGCGAATCAATTATCCATCAAGAAGCTGTATGTATTACACCGAGATTAAACAAAATCTTGATTTTCTCGGCATTTATATCTAAATGTGGCGTTGCTTTCATATACCTTTTCAGAGGCGAAAGGAACGGATAAGAAAGATGAACGAGAGGAAGATATACATACAGCTATACGAAGCAATGGAAGCTCTAGTCCACATATGCAGGGACGGCTGTCGAACCATAGGCCCCCACGACAAAATTCTGCAAGCCGATCAAGCCCCATGTCAGTACTCAGCTTGCAAGGGGCTCGAAACACTCATTCGACACTTTGCAGGGTGTAAATTAAGAGGCCCTGGTGGCTGCTCCCATTGCAAGAGAATGTGGCAAATTTTGGAGCTGCACTCTCGAATCTGCGCTGAACCAGACACCTGCAGAGTGCCGTTGTGCCGGTCAGTTCTCGATTACACCTTCACCAAATTCTTTTCACTTATTCCTTCAAAAAAACAAGAAACTGAAAATTAGATTACTCGGCATTGCAGGAACTTCAGGCAGAAGAGATGCAAGCAAAGCAAGAAAGAGGAATTCAGGTGGAGAACTTTGGTGAAGAAGATAGTGAGATCAAGAAGTATTACAGGAGCCCCAATTTTTTCACTTGGATCATGGGATCATCAGCCTAATGCAAATTAATTAAACCTGGTAGTAGTTCTTCTCAATGTAGACACAATTACATACAAAAATTCTTTCATTGTACTTTAGAGATTGGTGCCAAGAAAAATCAAGGGCTCGTTATGTAAATGAGAGAGAGAGGGAAATAGCAGAAGAAGACAAAGGAGAATGAAGAAGAAGACCATTAGTTCATTGTCCCCTAAATTGCAGTTTTGTGTTCTTGTTCTTGTTTTTTTGTTTCTTCCTATTGTATAGTTGGCTTCATAAGAGACACAATTTGGTCTCTTGCCTCCTCTGTATAATCAGGACAGCTTAGTTAGTGTTGATCGAAGAAAGATTGTAATGTTTGAACAATTATTCAGTCTAAAGAAAGAACTTTGTATCTATCTATCTACCTATTCAGTAATGGTGCATTTTGAAAGATCTTCCGGCAGCGGCGGCGCCGGTGGTCCTCTCAATGTCTCGGCACACTTTTTCGAGCACGGCGAGAAAGTCTCTTACGATCATGAAAATTCTGAGAGGATGAGCTTCCTCTTTGGCAGTATCTCCATGGAAGTATTCTGTTGCTTCTTTCACCACAGACAGGGCTTGTCTTTCTTCAGCCTTAATCCTGAAAATTTCGTTGGCAGCCTTGTCGAGGAAATCAGTCATCGAATCGAAGAATTTGCCTTCTTTCTCGTACTGTCGAACTGATCTCACTTTATCCAGCCCCGTCTCCAGCTTCGCGACGTAGCTGCTCAGGACATCGGAGTCCATCCCTGCTGCTCTTTTAACATTGCCGAGCTCTTCGCTTAATCGGGAGACTACTGAGGTTGGTTGTTCTGATCGGATCATCTCTTCAACTACAAAGTGAAGCAGCGTCGTCTTGCCATCTGTTCCTTTCACGTCGACTAGTTTCAACAGCGTATCCAATTTGAACGCTGTGGCGTCGCCGCGATTGGTCCCGTTGTTCATCCGGTTTCCGGTTTGTAGAACGGCTTCGAGCAGTTTCAGAAACAGGCGACTGTTCTTCAATTCTTTGCTCGCTTCCTGCATGAAAGATTACCGTTCGTTGCAATAACCGGATGCGTACATTTTGATCGAATGAATCGATGTTATATTTACCTCTAGTGTTTGGAAAGACTTCCTCAAGTATGCAAGCTCTGCGTCGAAGTTTGCTCGATACAGCATTGCTTCAACTCGTTTGAATGCGAATGGGATGTCGAGTATTGTCTTGAGGAATCGCTCGGCCGAGCCTAAGCTCGAGGTTCCGCTTTTGTATTGTTTGAGCTTGATCTCTTCCTCCTTTGTTGGTGCCATTTTTAGTAGTGTCTCCAGGAGATCTGTTCCTAGTCCTTCTGGATTTCCTGTGATCACAAGAGGAGTTTTGATTGTTTAATTTTTGAAATTGAGCAATGCTTTGGATATTAGGCAGCCATTGATACCGTCGAGGAGTGCTTCGGAAACTTCTTCGATTGTTACATTCAGTGCGCGTAGTAGTATGGCGATGTTTTGGGATTTCTTTGGATCAAGCACTCTGTATTCATGGCGGTGTGATGAATTTCTAGAAGCTTCTGGAGGAGCTGAGCTTTCGGAAGTGCAACTGAAGAGCGATTCCATGGCGTCCTCGTTCAACCTGCAGTGGATGATTATGAATTTATGATTGTGAGGAGATGTGAATTTGATGAGGAGAATTTGGTTTTGCTTACGGGAAGGAATTTGATTTCAATTGATCCCAGACTGTCGCGCGATCGGAAGTTGCTCGAACTTTGTCCCAATGGAGAGGCTTCAGTTTTGGCTTCGTTCCTGTGATTTGTTCCTCTCTATCATCACCTCTCTGTGATGAATCGACGCTGTTCTTCGCTGAGTTGCTGTGATTCGTTTTCTCGAACTCTGGATTTGATTTAGGGGTAAGATTATGTTCTTCTGTATTTATGGTTTGCTTGGAGTTCTGTGTTTCTGGAGCGCCAATTTTTGTAGCGGCTGGCGGCGGCGGTGGTGGAATTGGGATTTTAGGTTTCCGACGCGGCGGCGGAGGTGGAGCTGCAAAATTGGTCCCTTCAGAGATGTAGGATCTGGTTTTGCTGGTCTGTAACGGCGGCGATTGCTTGATCGACGGTATTATTACCGGCGACGGTGATGAGAAGCGAGATTTTGGTGAATTCCCTTTCGAACAGGGAATAACGCCACCGGCACGGTGCTCCGGCGTGGTCTGGCGCGAAACCGGCGACTCATTGCTGATCGACGATCCTTGCGGAGTGTAGAAATCGGTGTCGTGGCTGTCGTCGTCGGACGACGACATCGGCGGCGGCGGCGGCGGCCTCGGCAGCGGCGGCAGGGGCTGAAGGTCAGGACTCGGCCGGTAACGCTCAGATCTTCTCTCCGATTTCAGTTTCCGGTACGGCGAGCAATTGGCGCCATTGGAATCTTCCACGAAGCTTCTAGAAGACGGCTCAACCGTTCCGATGTAAAGAAAACTCGCCGGAGGCATTCTCGAATTCCGGTCGGCAGAATCCCCGGCGACGAGTTTCCTCGAGTCATCCTCCCGGCCGGCGCAGTGCCGGTAAAGGTAAAACGCCAACGCCGCCATCATCGCGAGGGTAAGAATCGCCGACGTTACTGCAATTGCAATTTTCTTAGCTTTAGATAACCTATGATCTGAAGCAGGATTCGTCGCCACTATCTGCTGCGCCGGCGCCGGCTCCGGCGATTGCTGTCCATTTTCGTTAAAAAACGGCTGATCCTTCTGCGGCGGCGGCGGCGGCAATCCGGACGGCGATGCTGAAGTAGTCTGCGGCAAAGGTTGATGCAGAATCCTCCTGGTTTGCTCTTTCCCGGCGACGAAACCTCCGGCCAGTGAGATGAACAGCAAAACTGCAACACAGTTAGCTTCCATGGCTGCCCGGTAAGCTCTGTTTTCGTCTTCTTCCTTCCTTTGTTACATAATTCATATCTCTAAATTTAGCAGTGAAATCAGTAATTAATTGAGATGCCTGTAAAGGGGAAGATTCAAGATCCAGGCTTACTGTAATAATAATATTTAATAATTAATAATGAATTATGGTAGTATATAGTTTAAGGAGGAATGGCACAGAAAGTGATGTAGAAGGAATGGAGAATTAGAAAAGGTCGTCGTCTGTGAAGAAGACGAGGATGAAAGTGCGGAGTAGAGTGTAGTGTCCAGAGAAAAACCGGGTTTTTTTAAAAAAATAAAATATTTTCTGGTCCTAAAACAAAAGTGTCTTCATGCATTTGCCATTTTGCCTTTTGCAGTTGCCGAGGCAGAGTGAGTATTCTCTGTGAATCTATCCATCGTCATAATAATAATAATAATAATTAAGTTTAATGATGGTTAATTACATAATTAAAATTTAAAATAGTTTTTGGGAGTGAGTTAATGTTGACCATACACGTGTCGGTATGAAGGGTTGCGATCGAAAGGGACAAGAAGTGGAAGACGCATCCTTTTCATAGTATAATAATTTATATTTTAATTATATAATTCCTCTTACTCAAATGAAAAATTTATTTTGAAATTATGTAACCAATATTAGTGAGAACGTATAAAATATTTTTATAATTCATGTCAAAGTTAAAAATTATGAGTATTTTAATCATTATAATAATGTGTTATTAGTTTTAAGAAATTAATATTTTTAAGTGGATTGACAAAAATAATAAAAGATGTATTTTTAATTAGGAGTCAAGGAATATATAGATGTTTACAGAACTTTTAAGAAATTAATATTTTTAAGTGGATTGACAAAAATAATACTCCTTTCGTCCCAAAAACAGTCTGCAATATTTTTTTTGATATGTTCTAAACATCGTACAATATTTTCAAAATATAAAATAATTAATTATACTTAATCTCTATCTCACACTTTATCCCTTCACATTATTTAAATAAAAAAATAAAATATATATTTCTCTCTCCATCACATCACTTAATTTCTAAATTATTTTACTTAATACTATCCACCTAAAAATTCGTGTCAAAAGCAAACGTTGCACCTTATTTGGGATAGAGAGAGTAAAAGATATATTTTCAATTAGAAGTAAAGGAATATATAGATGTTTACAGAAAAATATTAGCAGTAAATTTTGGAATTTTTTTTAAATTATAAAAAATTAAATATTTAATGTAATATTTAATAAGAATAAATATGATTTAATATAATATTTTTAAAAAATTAAAATTAATACTTCCTTTTTTATATAAAATTATATCTATTCGATCAGATATGAATTTTACAACTAATGAATAAAAATAGATATTTTTTATAGTAAAAAAATGAAAAATAAATAAAAATAAAAATTCGACATAAATTTGGATAATAAAAAATGTAAAAAGTATCAATTTTTTTAAATTTTTTTATGACTTTGCTTCCCCCAATAAAAATTCTTCTGATCAATATATAAAAAATATTATATTTTATTTAAAAATTTAATACTTTCTTCATTCCATGGATGTCTGGATTAGACACAAAAATTTAGGACGGATATAATTAATAGATAATTAAGAGAGTATTAATAAAAATAATTATATTATAATATAAATAATTATAAATTAAGGTTAAAATAACTAATTAATTTAATTAAAATTAAAAAAAATAAATTAAAAAGTTTAAAATGAAATTAAAGTGTATAATTATTTTTTAAAAAAAAGTGACATGGATGTGAGACGGACAGAAATAGCAACGTGGATAGAATAGGTAGGATAGAAAGAGTATTACATAAAATATTATTTTTTATATTATAATACAATTGTTAATATAAACTAAAATATTAAATAAAAAATCCTATATACCATAAGTTAGTTAAGGGGTAAAGAGGGGTGGCGGGTGACAGTTGTGATAAGGGCAAATTAAAGGGAATTAAAGTTGGTGGTTAGTTTGTTAGGTCAAAGATAGTTTTGGTGGGATTCTTTCTAAGCTAAACCTAAAGCGTACGAATTGCAACCAAAATAAAGAAAAAGAAAAAATAAAAATTAAGAATTTATTATTTTCTTCTTACTTTGAATTGTTTTTTTGTGTTATTCAAGGTGGCTTTTGTTAAAAAGTTGGCGATTTAGGCAAATAATTTAATATTGGCTGAAAAATCGATAAAATTAACAATTTTTTGTTGTTAACTCAAGCTGAAGTTTTGCCTTTCTTTAATTCATCGTTAGGCCTGTGTAATGGTTATGTTTTTTTTTTTTTTTTTTTTCCATTTTTTTAGCTTTACGTTGATTGTTAATTTTAGTTTCGATTCCATTTAATATTGTTTTAGTTTTATTAAAATTATAATTCCATTAATTCATTATCGTATTTTCTACAAGAGGTATTGTTCGAATAAAGTCTTGATCTAAAAATAAATTTACAACATCAGAAACATCAAACAAAAGATTATATCCGCCAAAAAGTCGGATTGAAAATCAAACAGAAGCTTTCAAATTCGAGTGGGAAAGCAAATGACACATTTTAAGATTCAAATTATATGTAATTTGTAGAAAAAAGTATTTACAAAATTAATACGAATTTCTTTTGTCTACAGTATTAACAAAAAAAGTTATAGGATAAATAAATTCATAGGAAAACAAAACAAATCAGATGAAAATATCTATATATATATATATATATATAATTATTTGGATAAATTGATTCAGACATGAAGATGTATTGCTAGTGAAAAATGACAAAATGAATCAATCAGGAGAAAATAATAAATTGAATAAAATATAAAAATATTTCAATGACGTGAGAATTTGTAAAGAAACATTACTGAATGTAGTTAAGGCGTGTTCCTTTGTAAGAAAATTTTACTATTCATCAAATTATTTTTTTCAAAAATATCAAATCAAAACACCTATTTTTTATTTTTTATATTATACTAAAAATTAATTGTTCATTTAAAACATCGCATCAACACCTATTTATATAGCATATTACTATTACAATTCAAAATTTTTACTATTCAAATCTAACTCAATTCAAACATCCAAACAAACACACCCTTAGTAAATTTTTATTTGAATAATAATTTATATACAATCTTTTATAAGATCGAATTAATATTTATTTTTAAAAAAAAATATATAAGAGCTAAATAGTACTCTCTCCGTCCCATCTATCGTGTTTATATTGTGGTTTCTGTTCGTCCCACCTCTCAAGTCATTTTCTTTTTTTTTTTTGAAAATAATTGCACAACTTAGTCCCATTTTAAAATTTCCAATTTAATTTTTTTTAATTTTAATTAAACTAATTAGTAATCTATAATTATTTATATTATAAAATAATTATTTTCACTAATATATTTTCAATTATCTACTAATTATATTTATACTAAATTCTCATGTCTTTAGTAACTGAGACATGCAATATGAGATGGAAAAAGTAAAAAAAAAATAATAATACGAAACACATTGTATTATAGAGCTGTTAAACGAACTGAGCCGTTCGTGAACACGGCTCAGTTCAACTCGGTTAAAACTCGTTCGCAAACGTTAACGAGCCGAACCGAACAACATAAATGGGCTCGTTTAGTTAACGAACAAGCCCGAACCCTGTAATTAAGATATGTCTCCTACGAAAATTAATTTTTCCAAACTCCCAAATTCATTTTTCCATAAATTAATTTATTCACAATTTTTTTTAAAAAAAAAAACTTAGATATGAATTTTGTAAGTTTTAGCTGTATTTTGGTTGCAATTTTTCTTTTTATAGGTTTTACTATTCTAAAAATATTTATTTAAAAAAAATATGAAACCAAATGTTTATTTTATTTTGTATAATTAAAAAGTTTTGTTTTTGTTTTTTTATTTAATTTTAAACTGAAATCAAAGTTATTAACAACACATGGTTTTCTATAAAATTATACTTTTTCCCTCCCAATACAATATTCTTGTTTATCATTTTTGTCCGTCTCAAAACAATAGTCTTATTTTCATAAATAATCATATCACCGTAAAACTACCCATATTCTTTTTTTTTTTATTACACAATTGCCACTACTTTTTACACTAGTAAAAAAATCTTTTATTAATATTTTTTAACGACTACCAATATAATATCAATATTGTTTAAATCATGTGCGCAACCAAATTAAGATTATATTTATGGGAAGAAGCTAGGATATGATTTGATTATGCTATTTCCGTATGAGATAAATGCATGTATCAATTATAATTTATTTGGTTGTTTTGCCAAAAATGTATTCATTTCTCTTAAATAATAGTACATCACAGTTAAATATACGTACAATACATTTAAATAATTTTTTAAAAAATAACTGTAAACCATTAAAATATTTTTACCCTTTTCACCCAACACAACTAGTTTTGTATATTATATATTACCCCTCTGTCTGTAAGTTTACTTTGAGGTAGATAGAAAGTAAATTAAGGATATTATGAAAAAATTATTTAAAAGTAAATAATAAAAAATGATGAAAAAATTATTTAAAAATAAATAATAAAAAATGATGGAGTAAATGGAAAATGATAGTGAAAATTATTGTTTAAACTTTGTATATAAAAAAATAAATGCATGCATTTGAACAGGATAGCTGGAGTATTAATTCACCTATTACTGGGCCTGGCCCTTAACCTGCAAAGGTCATTTTGAAAGAGAGCCCAATAGTGAAATTAATATAATACTCCTTATACCCTTTCAATATACTATTTTGGGATTTTATAATACATTAAAAAAAATAATAACAATAAATAAAAACAAAATAATAATTAGTTAGGTAAAGTGTGAAAAAAAAATTATATGTAATAGTATATTTTTAATTTAAATATAAAATAATTGTATATGTAATAGTATATTTGTAATTTAAATAAATGATAAAGTTATTTTAGTATTGATATATAATTATTTTTACTGTATAAAAAAAATGACAGATGAAAATGATAAAAATAGTATTTTGAATTGAAAGAGAAATACTTCTTCCGTCCCATGTAATATGGGTGTATTACTGTAGACACTTGAATTTAGGTAAAGTATAATTATTAAATAATTAAGAAGTGTATTAGTGAAAATAATTATTATATAGTAAAAATAATTATAGATTAAGATTAAGATAAATAAATAGTTTAATTAAATTAAGAAAATTATAAAATTTAAAATTTAAAATGCGATTAAAGTGCATAATTATATTTTCAAAAAAAAAGTCATGTGATGTGAAAAAAAATAAAAAATAGGGACAAATTATGTGGGACGGATGGAGTAATATATATATATTTGCGTGAGGTGCTATAAATTATTGAAATTATAGTACTTTCTCCTTCCTGTAACACTTGATACATTTTTATTTTAGATAAAATTTACTAAATCAAAATATACTTAACAAATATAAATCAACTTAATTATGATAAAACAATTATTTTGTCCATTTTCATAATATTTTGTCAATTTCAGTCCCTTTATTTCTAAAATAAAAATTTTAATTTATTTTATTTACTGATGTTTCAATTTTAGTCTCTCATACTTTATAAGTACAATCTTGATCCATTATTCATTTAAATAGTTCAATTTTAATACTTATTATTTTTTAAAGAAATTAATACATATTAGTATTACTCTTTGTGTGATTTAAAAATATTATTATTATTATTATTTATTTATTATCTATTTTTTCGTCTGACTTAATTTACCTATTTTTTTTATTTTCGTTTGTTTCGTATATTTTATTTTATTTTTATAATGTAATTATATATGTTAATTACATTTATAATTAATAATTTATAATTTTTTATTTTAATTAAATATTAAATTTTTTAATTTTAATTTATAATTATTTTTATAAAATTATAAATTATTTTTACTAATAATTTTTTTAATTACTTATTAATTATTCAATACTTAAAATTTAATGTCTAAATTAAAATGAATAATTTAAGGGTGTGTTTGTTTGGGAAATTTGATTGAATTTACACTATTCATCTAATTTTTCGCCAAAAACATCAAATCAAAACACTTATTTTTTATATTATACTAAAAATCAATTTTACATTAAAAATATTACATCAACATCTATTTATATCACATCATACAACTATTTAAATTCAAAATTTTTACTATTCAAATAAATATTTTTACATAAATTAACACCTATGTATATATATTTTTTTATGTAATTAATATTTTTAAGTGAGAAGTGATAGTTTGAATGTCTGATGAATAGAGAGAGAGAGAGAAAAAGGGTTCCCAATTCCCATGAAAGAGGAGCAGAGTGGCAATGATTGCACCATGGGAGATGCCTGCTCTGCTCTCTCTCTCTCTCTCTCAATTGAAGTGACTATACTTCTCTTTCTCTCTCTAACACTAGCAAAGTGTCTATTTATTTTTATTTTTCGTCAACCTTACATAATTTATTTTTTTAAAAAATATAATTATATATATTAATTATATTCTAAATTTAATAATTTATATATATAAATTTTAATTAAATTATTTAATTATTTAAATTTAATTTATAATTATTTTTATTATATACTTTATCAGTCTCTTTAATAATATATTTCTCTGTCTCATAAGAAGTGTATTAATTTTTATTTTTATCTGTCCAAAAAACAGATATTATTTTTTAATTTAGTAATTATACTACTTAAACAACATAATTAATATCTTTATAATTTTCAATATATTTAAACAAATGACATTACTTGTTTATTACACAATTTAATATGAGCATTTTTGTCTTTTATATTATAAACTAATATAATACTAATATTAAAAATCTATGTACAAAAAATATATGTTACTTTTTTTGCTGAACAGAAGTAGTATTCATTTTTCTATTTTAGTCCGTCTCATAACAAAATATCAATTTTTTTTAGTAACTGTACTATTTACCTAATATTACAAATATCTTTTCAAATTATAATAAATTACACAAATATCATTACATTTGTATCATAAAAATAGTTTAATCTCTTTACTTTTATTTATACTATATTTTAATTTAATATTAATATTCTTAAAATTTTGTGTAAAAAATAAATAGATAAATAAATATTGAACATTAAAAATAATTCTTCCTTCGTCCCATATATCATGTCTGTTATACTGTGACACCGTATTTTAGGAGAGGTATAATTACTAGATAATTAAGAATATATTAGTGAATATAATTATCATATAATATAAATAATTATAAATTAAAATTAAGATAACTAATTAGTTTAATTAAAATTAAAAAAAAAAATAAATTTAAAAATTTAAAATGAGATTAAAATGTGTAATTATTTTTAAAAAAAAGATGTGATATAGAATGTGAGACGGATAAAAACAAGAATATGGATATGATATATGGGACGGATGGAGTTATTATTTTTATCTATATAATTTCTTAATTATTTATTAATTATATATTATCTATTTTTGCAAAATATGCAGGCTTTTGGTGAGATTGAGGGAGTTATTGAAATGAGAAATCCCTTCCCTTCACTTTTACCTTTCCTTCAATCATTCATTTTGGTGGGACACTTTTCGCACAGCCGCCATTTCTTTCACTCTTCTTTTTCTTGGTAGCTTTACTTTCTGTTTCTGTCATCATTCAACATTATATATTTACTATTATGATTAATGCCAACATGACGATGATGATCATCACCACCACTTGATCTCATCAGATCACATCAGAATCAGAATAAGGATCAGAATAGACCACACACTGCCCTCACTCGCTCCAATTACACAAACACACCTTTACCAGAGTATTATTATTATTTAGAGTCTGTTTCTTTTTTTTTTTAAAAAAAAATTTAATTTAAATTTAATATAAAAATAATATTTGATAAAATATTTTGTAAAAATAAAAAATATATTTATTTTAGAAAGGTAGAGTTTCAAATAATAAAATCTGAAAAAATATTGCTAAAGAAACGTACCCGTCCCATTCACACACCCCACCACACAAATACATGCTATACATATATATATATGCTCATAATAATAATAATAATAATAATAATAATAAAATGCATGCTATGCTGCCACACTCGGTCCCATCACATCCCATCCCATAAAATACATACATATACTCATCAAATTTAAATGTTGAAGATAGCTAGCTCCGATCCTATAATGCTTGTATGTTTCAAAATAATTTATGAATTATTAAAGATCATTTTAAATTTAATAATCTTTTCAAAAAATATTTGGTGAAAACAATAGGCCTTACCCTTTTTATTCCCTAGCCTGGCAGTTGGCATATATATATATATATACACAAACACATCCATACTCCATATATCCTTCGAAAGTGAAGCAAGAAGCCACAGCACCACAAATAGCAGTATTAATACAATATAATATACTTATATATAATATTGAGTTATATATTCTACATATATATATAAATCAATTAAATTAAAGCAGCTAGCTACTAGCAGGAATGGCGGCGGCAGAGGGCAGTCATGAGGTGGTGGTGGTGAGGGAGTACGACCGGAAAACCGACCGGAGGGCGGTGGAGGAAGTGGAGGAGATGTGCCAGGTAGGTCGCACCGGCAACGGCAAGCACCGCCTCTCCCTCCACACCCACCTCCTCGGCGATCCCATGTCCCGCCTCCGCAACTCTCCCGCCTCCCGAATGCTCGTCCGTACATTTCTCTCAACAATTAATTAATTCATTTAAGTTATTACATGCTCGATCGTAACTGTTTCTTCTGTCCGTACGTGGCGTGACGTGTCAGGTAGCCGAGATGGCGGCGGACGGCGGCGCACGCCGCCAAGTCGTCGGCATGATACGTGGCTGCATCAAAACCGTAGCCTCCCCAATGTTCGCCAAACTCGCCTACATCTTAGGCCTCCGCGTCTCTCCTTCTCATCGGTATTTGATTTTATTTAATTGCAGATTTATTTATTTATTTATTTATTTTAATTTATTGTTAATTTTGTAGGAGAATGGGCGTGGGCGCGAAGCTGGTACGAGGAATGGAGGAATGGTTCCGACAAAACGGGGCCGAGTATTCCTACATAGCGACGGAAAACGACAACCGGCCGTCGGTAAATCTCTTCACTAAAAAATGCGGCTACTCGAAGTTCCGTACGCCGGCGATTCTCGTGCACCCGGTCTTCGCTCACCGCGTCCGCGTCGACGCCGGAGCCGCCGTAATCCGGCTCGGCTCCGCCGACGCCGAGGCGCTCTACCGCCGCCGCTTCTCGTCGACGACGGAGTTTTTCCCGAGGGACATCGACGCCGTTCTGAACAATAAACTGAGCCTGGGGACTTTCCTGGCCGTCCCCAAGGGTTCGACGCCGTACGACTCGGCCGAGTCGTGGCCCGGACCGGACGAGTTCCTCGCGGCTCGGCCCGAGTCGTGGGCGGTTCTCAGCGTGTGGAACTGCATGGAGGTTTTCCGGCTCGAGGTCCGCGGCGCGTCGCGCGTGATTAAAGCGTTGGCGAGGACCACGCGCCTCCTCGACAGGGCTTTTCCGTGGCTGCACCTCCCGTCGGTGCCGGAAGTTTTCCGGCCATTTGGGCTGCATTTTCTGTACGGTCTGGGCGGAGAAGGCCCCGGCGCGGCGGCGCTGATCAGGGCTCTTTGTTGGTTTTCGCATAACCTGGCGATGGACGGCGGCTGTAGCGTGGTGGCGACGGAGGTTTCCTGCGGCGAGCCGCTCAGGTTAGGGATACCGCACTGGAAAAGGCTATCGTGCGCGGAGGATCTGTGGTGCATCAAACGGCTGGGAGACGACTATGGTGACGGCTCAGTGGGTGACTGGACAAAGTCGCCACCTGGTCTGTCTATTTTTGTTGATCCCAGAGACATTTGATCTGACTCATTAAATTAAATTAAAATTATAATTTAATTAAAATATCTCTAATTAATATATGATCGAGCTAGATGTGGATAAGGTCTTAATTAATTTGTCGTTTTGTTGTAATGGTTGTAAATGGAATATCCCACTCGTGTAAATTAATGGATCTCTTTACTTTTCCTGAACATCCTTTTTAAAGTTTTTTTTTTTTTTTTTTTTTAGGACTTATTTTTGATGTGATGCTGTGTACATCAATTTCGTATTATTATACTAATAATATATATATTCCAAATATATGTGGCTTATCGAAAACCCAGGTTAAGTTGCGACACGATATATATGTGCGTGTAATAATTAATGCCACGCGTATGCTTTTAATAAGATATTAGGTATTGATTTAATTAATATATATATATATATATGATAAAGTAAAATAATAACGAGCAAGTGTTGTTCGAATGTGAGGAATGGCAGGCGGGCTGTGGATGGATAGCTGGCACACGTACGTACTTGCATGATTATTCATGTACTGAATTAAAATTGCATGTGCTCTGGAAAATAATGTGGCTCAATATTTATTTTTATATAAAATGTTATATTTAAACAATTATTTTATTTTATAGTATGATGAATATTGTCCCAGCGTTAGAATATTGTGAGAACATCCTAATATTTATTAGGGTAAATAATGATTTTACTTAATACCAAATAGCTTTTATTTGAAATTTTAGATTCATTTTTAATATGATATCAAAGCCACGTACTAGTATTTTCTGTCTCACGGAAAACGAATCAATGTTCTTAACTTTTACATATCAAAGAAAGTATACAAATATACAAAACACGCATCACACATTGTTTTAATTTTACTTCCATCTATATGATTTGGGTGTGTTTATTTGCATGATTAGGATGAATAATATTATTTCATCCATCATAATCTATTATATTTATTTTATCATGTAATTATATAATTCACTAAAATATTAATATGTATTATAATCCTATTTTACAAAAATAAACGCATCCTTTGTGTATTATTACTAATTTATCATATATATATATACTTATTAGAGTTAATCAACACTCTAATAGCTCATAATATATATAACATGAAATAGTATAGAGAAAAAGTAGAAATGATCGATACTTAAGCCATGCATGTGTTTTTATATATATATATATATATATAATTGAGTTGGTGGGGTTCATGAATTCGTCCGCAATCATGTCGTGGTTGAATATATATATATATATATACACACACAAATATATATGTTTATATATGCATGGCCACCTTTAATGATTATTAATAAATCGTACGTACCATAACGAAATTGATGGGATGTGATATTACACTCTCTGCAGGGCTGGTCCGACTTTATAAGAATCCGGAGAAAAAAATATTTCATTAATCTTTTTATTATTTTATTTTTTATTTTTTTCAAAGTTCTAAAGTATATAAAATTTAAATTCAAAACCTCACAATCATAAATTTATACATACACCATCAAACTACATTTTATATTTACACAAATTAAATAACTTTTATATATAAAATTTATACAATATATAATATAAATATATAACGAATTTTCTATTTATATTGGATTCTGAGCGGACACCATCCTCGACAGCAAGGGCCGGCCGACTCTGAGTGCCACGTTTATTTATTATATGTATATATATACGTAAATTTATATAATGTTCATTAGTCCATTTTCGAGCACATGCATCACCAATATATATATATATATATATAATTCTGATATAAAAATTCATCTACACAAGCATAAAATAAAGAAAGATATCTATGACAGTACTGATGATCATATTCTTTTTCTTTTTTCTTTCTTTTTTTTGAATTATATATATCTCATTTATTTATTTATTTATAAAGGACAACAAGTTGAATAAGGTAATAATATAAATTTATTTGTTTGTGTTTCTTCATAAAAATAATTTTATTGAATCGTATATCTATATCCCTTTTTATTAATATTTAAATATGTTTTTATTAAACTATATCAACAATATGTTAAATGATATATATATATTGAATATAATTATTACAATTACCATGCACCACATATTTAGGAGTGAGTGAGTGAGTGAGTGGTGAGTATGAAAATGAAAGGCAATGTCGTAATTAAAAAAAAAAAAAAAAAGAAACGATCAATTTATACGTTTACATATATATTTGAAAATTTTAATATTATTTGTCAATAATAACTTTTCAAGATATATATATATATACATATATATGATATATAATATCTATTTATCTCACGTATTAAGTTTACATACATATTGTTGAACATTTTAATATTATTCAGCAATAACTTTCTAATATATATATATATATATATGTGTGCGTGTGTGTGTGACATTAAATACTTAAATTTTTTTCTATTTTCAGAATTTTCGGAAATTAACTTCAAAACTCCCAAAATATTTATCCAAATAAAACTAAGATCTTTAGGAAAATTTAAGTGATATGCAAGAGAGGGACTGCACATTGACAACCATTACAACTATACGACAGATCAATTCAAACCTCATCCACATCCAAATATTTAATTTCTTCATTTTGCATAGATATTGAATATGGGTTAAAAAAGAGGAAAAACAACAACAGTTGAATCAACTTAAAAATAAAAACAACTAACAAAGCTTATGTAAATAAATAATTAATATAAGTTAAATAGGTATTAGTTATGATCTTTTGATTGTAAATAAAAATTTAATTTAACCATTAAAAAAAAAGGGTATACAAATATAAAATATTTTATTAGATATAGCTTTAAAAAAGAAAAGTACATGAACAAATTTGAAAAAAAAAATCCATAAATTGAGGTCAACGCAAGGTCAATTAGTATTTCCATTAAATGATTTTTTAAAAAAGTAATGTAGCCCAACAAATTGGACTTTGACCCGAAATATATATATTCATTAAGTCAGGCCCAATATTTTCAACCACCAAAACCTACTCTGGCGGCAGGGAGTGCGTGCCGGTCACGTGATAGTGTAGTCAACGGTCAACAATCGGATAGCGAAAAGCGGGAAACTTCGAAACTCGTAGCCACCACACAGCACAAAGCTCGTTTTTGCCTACACTATCTTTCGTTTCGTAGGGGTTTCAATCAATTCCGCACACAAATTTAGGGTCACGTTGTTTCCATTTCCCCAATTTCTTGTCGCTTTCAAATTCGGGGTGTTCCCACATTGATTACAAGCACTGACCTGCATAATCTATCCTCTGGACTGCGCGATTTCGGGCGGAGATTCGGAAATGGAAGAGGTTAGGGCTACCTGCGCTTGGGTCGCCGCCCGCTCTCGTCACGTCGCCGTCGATTCCTCAGGTTCTCGCTTTTTTTTTTTTTTTTTTTTCGGTTTCTCTATCTCAATTGATTTTTCGTTTGAATTAGGTTTTTGAATTTGTTCTTCTCTGTGTAGGAGTCGAGGCGGTGGCTGATAAAATGAAGGATTCGATACCCAAGGTGGAGTGGAATTTCGAGGGGATTCATTATTTCGACAATGGTCCTCTCACTGTCCAGTATTTGTTTGTGTTGGATGCAATGAATTTCTGTTTCTGGCCAGGTATACCTTTCTGTATTTGAATCACAAATATGTTTGAACTTCAATTTTTTTGTGCTATGAAATGCATTGCATTATGTTGTTGTTGGATCTGTGCTGTTTGCAATCTTTAGTAATGTTTGTGTGTGATCAATGGCAAAAATAGTATTAAACGTGAGTAATAATAGGTTTGATGGCAATTCTGATATCCTGTTGTTTGAATTGATAACCTCTGTGGATCAATTTTAATTAGGACTTTGTCATTCAGTTCAAGTGATGTTTGATAGGTATCTTGAATTTTTGTAATGTAAATTTTTTCTAATGTTAGATGAAGAATTGAGCTATGATCATTTGGCTATGGGGTTAAAGGAAGCTCTTCTAAAAGATAGGTCTGCTTTCGATGCTGATCGCCTACAAAAATACACTGGTATGAAGTTTTCACACTAAATTTTTTCTTGGCAAGCAACACCGCTTGAACTGTCTGAATTTATATTATTTGGTAGAATAATGAATTTCAGAATGTTGGAGTCATTGGCAGGTTATGATCTGCGAAATATGCTGAATTGGCCGAGGCCATTACCCTTGGAGGAGGAGCGTGTACGCCTGATGCACGAGGTGCAAAATATCACGTTTGTGCAACCATTTGTCCGTTAATTTTATTTTATGGTTTTCTAAAATTGTTTGTAGTAACCTCATTGCTCCATAACACGTTCGATTAGGTGGGATTTGAGCTTGAGAGAAGTTTTGATGGCAAAGCATCCAAACTTGTAGAATCATCCGAAAAATCCGCGCCTAAGCTTGTCGCTCTCATTGCAAGTCACTTTCCAGGTGAAGTGGCGTCCTCTGTTAAAATTTGTAGATAATCTCTTTCAGTGTGAAGTCTTAATATGATTATGATGTTACAGGATTCCGGGACCATACAATATACAAAGGTCGCCAGATCTTCTTGTATAAACGAGCTCAAATATTTGCTGCTGATTTATGGGGTGCATTCAAAGGCCAAGGATACGGCGAATTCAAGGACATCGAATCTTTGACAATGTTTGCCGATTACATAGTCCCTGCTGTTCTTCAGCAGCTCGGAGTACTGAAATATAGTCCTTCCTTACAAAATATGATCAATGCTGATTCTGAAATGCATTCGGGTAGTGATGAAGAAGTTGAACTTCGAGCATGCTCTGTACATGCCGTGGAGGAAATTCGCGACCTGATCCAAAGAAAGACGGGAAAACAGGTCAGAAAATCTTACAAAATATTCGACACAAATTTCTTTGAAACTAACTTCTTTTTTTTTTTTTCTTTCATCCAGGTGTTAAGTGTGGAATTGGATTTATGGCTTTGGGCTTTCGGCATTCAATGTTCGTCGCTTAAGCATCATCATACGCTCTCAATCTATTATTGAGATCATAAAACCCAGCCAAGGTTAGAGGGGAAGAACTCTGAAAATTTTCAGGTACCAAACTTCGTTATGGATGATCATATAAGCTTTATACTGATTTTTACTTGGTAGAAAATCATCGTATACATCTCTCGACTTTCTGTTAGCATATTACTATGACGATATCTAGTCGCATTGAACATGAAAATTGATCAGGTGTGTTCTATTAGAGTTTGGTTTTTTTGTTTGAATATAGGTTTCAATATAATGTTTTGTGAGAGAAATAATATATTGTTACGGAGAATTGCTTAGTAAAAAACTTCAACCAAAAATAATATATTTATAATTGTTTTATTGGTTTTAGTAAATAATAACAAAAATTCCTAACTACTAGAAGAAAAGATTCTCACTTATTCTATGATATTTTCTTTCCAATGATAATCCTCATAATCATAATGTGCATTTTTGTACACTATATTGAAATTGTATCTAATCTACCAATTTATGATGTGTATTTATCGAAGAAATTAACAATATTTTGAATATGAATATGTTACGGAGAATCAAAGTTTATGTTATAATATAAATAAAAAAGTATATTTTTATGATTAATCAACATAAATTAGTTTATAAAAGATATGAAATTTTAAATTTATGTAAACATTTTATATATTTGGAAAAGCTATGGTTTGTTTGATTTTGATTTGAGTTTTTTTTTTTAATTTGAATTTAAATAATATTTTGATATGATATTTTATTTTAATTTGAATTTAAATAATATTTTAATATGATATTTTATAGAAAAAATAATTATATTTTTATTGAAAAAAGTATAAATTAATTAGTAATAATTTTAATTTAAAATTAAAACTAATTCGCTCGTCACAAAAACCTAGAAAAAAAAAAAAAAAAAAGTGGATAATTAGCATCATCAAAGTCGTTCCAATGCAAAATATTTAATAAAAATAAAAATAAGATCAAAAAGTGAAGTAGTGGTTCAACTGTACATCTACACAATTCTTTCAATAATCAACATTATCGTAGTTTTTTTTAATACATATATATATTAATATATTAAAAGTAAACATATTATATATTACACTTAACATTTAAAATTTTTATATTAATATTTATTTATATTACATCAAATAAATATTTAAAGTTTATATTTTATTATTGAAAATTTCATCTTCAACTCATATGACCAAACAATTGTCTTGATATACTTTTATTATTAAAATAATAAAATATAAAGATAAAATGGATACTTAATATGACATTTTTGTTTTAAAATATTTTTATAATAAAATGGATACTTAATATGACATTTTTGTTTTAAAATATTTTTATAAAAAATAAATAAATCAGGTTTAGTATAATACATTTTTTTTAATAAAAAGAGATTTCTTTGGTCACACATAAATAATCTCACTTGTCCCACTTAAATTGCCCAGTTTATTGAGAAGTGGTTCTCAGTGAACAATTTATCTTCAATGTTATATCTAGTTACCATTTCAAACTATACATTAAGATAATTTTAGGTTTATTTTATTTTTAATTTTATACAAATATACTTACTAAAATAATACTAATAGTTTTTTTAAAAAAATAAATAAAATAAAATTTACTACAATATTATTTTAAAATAATTTAAGTAGGGTGAAGAGAATAAACTTCAATAAAACAACAGTAAATATTGTGAAAACAATCTAAAAAAACAAAACAAGAAAAAAATCTACAATCCACTAAAGTTTGTTGGTTGGAGGTTATTTTCATGATCAACTATTTGTTTTACATTATTTCAGCCCTTTCATCATATGCATCACCAATCTACAATACTAATGCTCTAATTGGAAATTTCACTTTTAAATTTAAAATATTATGTGTTTGTTAGATTTTGGTTTAAAATTTAAGTTTTGACTTAAATAATATTTTATGGAAAAAAAAATAATATATTTTTTTTTTATTGAAAATCACACGTGAATAGTAATATAATTTTGATGCAAATTAAATCTATCATTTATATATATGTATGTATATATATTTATAGGTCTACTTACAAATTTATGTCTTTGTTTTCCTATCAATAAATATTCAATCTTTTTTTTTTTTTTACACGAATTCTCAATATATATAATAGTATACTATTTTATCATCTTACAAAAAATCAACATTTAAACATAGAAAAATATATCTCATATCCAAACACCAAACAAACAAACCCATAAATTTTCAATACTATTTTGTCAAATGAATTTTTTATTAATCACACATATTCATTTTATTTTAAAATTTTTACTATATACAAAATAACATGTATATAAATTAATAAAGGTTCGTCCCCCGAATGAATTAATTATTTAATATAATATTCCAATGGAAAATTAAATTGAAAAATAAAAAAATCAACTAATTTATTGTATAGTTAATCTCAAATATAAAGTTACCAAAGAAGAAAGATACATATGAATTTGTAGAATGATGATGTGCCCAAACATAACAATTGATGCACTTTTTTTAAGATATTATAAATTTTGTTTGGAATAATAAATTTCTTGATATGAAATGTGTAAGAAATACTCAATTCTTTGAATTATATTTTTGTTAGATAAAAAATAAAGTTTTGAAGGTGCTTTATTATTAAACACATATGTAAAAACAATTTGATTTATCCTTTTTTTTTTTTTTTCCAAAATTTCAGATTTGTATATTAATGTTACATTTTATTTTATTTTATTTTTTCAAATTTTTATTTTGTTCTAATGGTTCAAAGATCTCTGTGTTTTATTGATTTTATTTCTATCCTTGTTCGTTTTGAGATATTGATGATGCGATGCCCAATTTGGATATTAATTAATTCAAAAATATATTTGATTAGTCCCGACTATGGTGTTTAATGTACCGTAAATATATAAATTTAAAAGATATATAATTAGTAAATAATTTAAAATATATTAAAATTAATTTAATATAATAAAAATATAAATTAATAATTAAAAATAAAATTATAATACATATTCTTTTTATAAAAAGAAATACATAATAAAAATAAAAATTAAAAGATGAACACAATAAAGAGGGTACGGCGTCTATTACACCGGCCCGCGCGTGTAGTAGGATAAGGATGCCACGTCAGCCGCCAACCCGGGAAAACGACATCATCTTCTGTCGTTTCGATCGACTACTGAATCCAGCTTCACTGTTCCTCTGCATGAGTCGTCATCCATAATTTTTCGATTTGATTGACGTTTTTATTTCAGCGTGTCCTAAGATGCATTTAATTAATTATTAAACATATAAACTTATTTCGTCATATATTTAATTAGCCATAAATTATTACTCTCTCCGTTCCACATAATTTATTCATATTTTTTATTTTGGTCTGTCCAACATAATTTGTCTTTTCTATTTTTGGAATTATAATGATGCACTTTAATCGCATTTTAAATTTTAAATTTTATAATTTTCTTAATTTTAATTAAATTATTTACTTATCTTAATCTTAATCTATAATTATTTTTACTAAATAATAATTATTTTTACTAAATTTCTTATATGTACAGTAATACACCCATATTATATGGGACGGGGGAGTATTACAAACCATAATAAAAATTATTATATCCCCAAAGCCTGAAAGATATTCTTAGGGTTTTTTTTTTTTTTTTCTAAAATAATAATAATAATAATAAATTTCTCTATTAGTATTTATTATATAAATGGAATCTGAAATGTGTAGGAAAAGATAAAACTGTGACGAACTGTAGGAGACCCACCATGCTGAAATATGTCTACAAAATTATATGTTGATGATAGAAAGGATTCTTTTTTAGATCAGTACGGCTGTATATTTATATATCGATTTCCCAATTTTTCTATAATTAAATCTTCACAAAATAATTAATATATTATATATATTAAATTTTAAAATATATAGTTAAATGGGCTAATGATCAAATTCAAGATTTATGTATTTGTTTATTATTATGGGGGTTCCACCTATACGAATAATTATTTTGATAAGTTATAATAATAGTTTGATGTGTATATATATATATATATATCCTAGCATATGCTTTAATTTTATTAATTAAATATATATCTAAGTAAATTATTAGAGATATACATTGAATAAAGTGTAATGAGTATATATCTATCATTTTTAAAGCACCAACATCAAACAATTTATAGCATATTTCTTTATTTATTTATTTATTTATTTTTAAATGACTTTATATATATATATATATAGAGAGAGAGAGAGAGAGAGAGAGAGAGAGTTATAAATGGTAGAAATATTATCACATAGTATAATATACATTTTTACTTAATTTATATGTGTGTGCACACGTACAGTTAAGAAGAGTATTAGGTGATTAGCTTAATCGAAACATATTACTCCCCCCCCCCCGTCTCATATAAGGTTTATTACTGTAAAATATAATTAGTAAATAATTAAGAAGTATATTAGTAAAAATAATTATAGATTAAGATTAAAATAAGTAAATAGTTTAATTAAAATTTAAAAAATTATAAAATTTAAAATTTAAAATGCGATTAAAGTACATAATTATATTTTCAAAAATAAAAATGACAAGTTACGTGAGACTGACAAAAATAAAAAATAGGGACAAATTATGTGGAATTGAAGGAGTAATTAATAGTATATGTTAATAATTTATATAACACATGTCACGATTGATTTTAACACAAGACAACATATTAATGTAATACAAATATAAATTAATAATTCATATAACACATGTTAATATTAATTTTTACTTAAGATAAATGTTATCATACCAAAAATATATGGTATGAATTTAATTAGAGCACATAATAATAAATCATACAAAATATATTAACTTAATTTCGGCCATGTGCTGAAAAATAATTAATTGTTCATACATTTGTCATATGTTGCGTTTGTGTTCTTATTTTATTTTATGTAATAATAATAAATAGTAATATATTTTATCAATAACAGCGTGTATAGAAAAAAAGTAATGTTTACTTGTAAATTTTGAATTGAAATAATTGTTTGATGTGAAATATATATTGATGAATATTTTGAATGTATAATTAAATTCTAGTGTAATATAATAAATAAAAAATAGGTATTTGATTTGATATTTAAAAAAAATAAAATTGAAATATTAAAATTAAATGTAAAATTTCACAAGTAAACACATAAAAAATTCAGGTTTCATATAAATGTCTAAGTAAAAAAATAATATAATTTTTATTTAAAACATCACCACTGATATTTATTTATATAACATTTAATGTAATAAGGATAGCTAGGATACCCATTAAAATTAATCAATATATAAACAATCACTTCTCAAACGTATAATTTAAATTAAATTTGAATGTACTACGTAAATTATAATGAGGTTAATCGTGATCGATAAAATGTAGACTGTTATTATATGATGTTAATTAATATTTACATTTGTATTATGTCATTTGTGAATTATTATACTCCATATGCTATCAGTTTGTAATTTATAATTATTACTTCTAATCAATATTTAATTTCATATAATAGTAAACACATTTTTATTATTAACTATGTGCTATTTTCAAACTCCTAAAGGCATTTCAGTCCAAGGCCATTTCGCACTGGGTTGGTTAAAGATTTGGCGTTGATACAGTGCAACTTTAATTTTGATATATATATATATATTTTTCAAATAAAATTTATGAGTCCTAAATCACATAAAAACAAATCTTAAAAGAAAATAAAAAAGAAATGCCATCCTATCCCATGTAATGTATTAGTAGTAATATCTAATCAGCATCGGACAGCAATGCATAGTAGATTGTAAATTACAAAACACATCAGCTCTGAATCTTTGAAACCTCTAGAAACTAACGAATTAATTAAGCTCCTAATTAACACCGATATATATATATATATATATAGAGAGAGAGATATTGTAGATAGAGATGCCAATGGAGGTTCAGTCTATAAGTGAGTCAGTAATAAGGTCGTCTCCCACTTTGGTGGGGCGTCTCTTTCCTTTCTTCCCTCTTTTTATTATTATTATTTATTTATTATTAGTATTAATTAATTAACCAAGGCAAGGTACCACTCACATCGATAGCCTATCATTCATCATCACACCCATTCCGCAATCCAACGGTCGAAAATCACCGTCCGCGGAAACACGCAGCCGCTTTCGCCCAATACTTTTGGAATCCACCTCACAGCACAACACAACATACACACATACATACATACAATATATATATATATCTAAACCCAACTCTGGTTAACCTCTAAACCACCCCACCCCACCCCACTCCACAATTCTCCGCTTCCTCTTTATATATCTGCCCCTTCTCCATCAACCCTCTTCCACAAGATTATTTTTATTATTTTAATTCTTTTGAGGTGATGATTATTAGGGATTTGAAGTAGCTATTGGTGAAGAAGAAGAAGGAATTGCAGAAATTAATTGATCGATCATGAGTTGCAATGGCTGTCGGGTCCTTCGAAAGGGCTGCAGCGAGACGTGTATTTTGAGGCCGTGCTTGCAGTCGATCGACACGGCGGAGGCGCAGGGCCACGCCACCGTCTTCGTCGCCAAATTCTTCGGCCGCGCCGGCCTCATGTCGTTCCTCTCCGCCGTGCCGGAGAATCAGAGGCCTGGTCAGTTTAATTTAATTATAATTAATTTGTTGTTTTCACCATTTCTTTTAATAAAATTTTAACGAACGCGCCGCCGTCTGCAGCCGTTTTCCAGTCGCTGCTGTTCGAGGCCGCCGGACGGACGGTGAACCCAGTCAACGGCGCCGTCGGGCTTCTGTGGACCGGCAACTGGCGCGTCTGCCAGGCCGCCGTCGAGACCGTCCTCCGGGGCGGCGCGCTTAAGCCGATCCCGGAGTTACTCGCCGGCGCGTCGGACGCGGACGCGGAAGCCGACGACGGGTCTGAGTGTACGGACATGTTCAAGCTCCAGGACCTCCCCGGGCCCAAATCGCTCCAAAAACGGCGGCGTTTCCCCGACGAGCCGGCTAAGGTGACGCAGCTAGCCGATCTCGATCTGAGCCTGATGCCGGTCAAGAAAAGCCACCCTTTGCCCGCCGAGACGCCGCGTCTCGGCAGCCCGTCTATGAATTCTGAAGAATCTCTTACCACAACTTGCCGGGATCAGCCCGCCGGCGAAATCAAGCTCCTAAATTTGTTCAATTAACTAAATAATTATTCAGGTGAACAAATCTGTAAAAAATTATATATATATATGTATAATTCGCTACTACCAGCTTTAGCTTCTTCTTCTTCTTTCTTTTTTTTTTTTTTGAAATTACATTTTCCTGGAAGTGCATTATTCCAGGTAGTGAGGTTTTGTCAGTCATTGGCACAAGATTCCCCTAATTTTTGTTCGAGATTGAGATTTATGTGTAAGAACGAAACGAGGGGAAAATGAAAGTTTTGCCAGTGATTCTTTTTCGTTCATTGTTCTTGATCTTGATCTTGATCTCATCGCCATCAGATCATTTCTCGATCTGTCTGTCTAATCACTGTTGGACTTTGGATAATCCTAATTTGCCCTTTGTATTAATTATTTCAAGTAATAGTACTTATTTATTACATCACCCATTTATGATGATCTGCAATTCTTCTTCTACAGCAGCTTCGATTATTGGCCAACTCCTCCTGCAATAATTGGACACCACCAAAGTGCAGAATTATATTTATCTTTTTTTTTAAAAAAAAAATGAAACCCAAATGAATAAATTGAGTAATTAATAAAAGAAGCAACCCAAACTTAAAATTCCAATTCCATTGGAAGTCTTGGGGGGACTCCTAAGAGATAGGGAGGTAAGGTCAAAGTATTGACTTATGTACAGCTCAGATTGGTGTAAGAATTGCGTGGCGGATCCAACGAGAAAGGACATTACTTCCAGTCTTAGGTACCAAGCACTAAAAACTTATCCATTTTATTTAATTAATTAATTTATTTAGAGGGCAGTAGTTGGGAACACTGTCCGTCTCTCTGTCATCGTATTCCTATCCTTAATTAATTATTAATAATTAAGTCCTTCCTTCATCCCACAATGGATATTTTAATTAATATAGGCACAAAAATTTATGTTAAATATAATTAATAAATAATTAAAAATATATTAATAAAAATAATTAATATATAATATAAATTATTATAAATTAAAACTAATATAACTAATTAAGTTCATTAAAATTTAAATTTAAATTTGAAATAAAATTAAGATGCATAATTATTTTTTTTAAAAAAATAACATAAAATGTGAGACGATATAATCGAAAATATAGACATAAATTGTGGGACGGAGGGAGTAAAAAATATATATATTTTTTTTTTAAAAAAAAGTATAGGGGAAGTGAAGGTGAAGGTGAAGGTGAGGATGAAGATGATAGTGATAGTGATGCAAATTTTGGGGACCTTTCGGCAGACAGAACAGCTTAATTTTTGGAGGGGGCGTAGAATAGGGGAGACCCACCCCCACCCCTACCCCCACCCTTACGCCCATTTTTGGTTTGTAATAAAAATCAATGCAAAGAAAGGATAAAATAAATAAAAAAATAAAAAATAAAAAAAAAAAGGCAAAGGAGGAGGAAATGGATAAATTGGCTGCAGCAGCACAGACTCGGCTGATAGCGGCTTTTGGAGCATCCAAGGAGGCGTGTCTCAACTAAAACACAATCATACATACATACATATATATATATATATTTATATATTGTATGTGTGTGTTTCCAATGGAATTGTTTGGTAGTTTATTACTGTGTTTTTTGCTTTTATCTTGGGTGTCTTCTTTTTATAGACTGGGTGTTTTTATCATTTAGAATTTTGTAAATACTCCTCTCAGACTAAAGTCTAACACTCGTATGATACTGTCTATTTTGATTTGAATTGAGTTAGTATGAATTTGTTCTTGAATTTGTTCCAAAAGATCACGTAGTTGATATGAGACTTATAAATTGTTAGATTTTTTAAAACTTTTCAATATAGAATTTTGTTTTGCACCCCAATATTTAGTAAATTAATATTCCATGTCCTATAACTATGTATAGGGGTGGGCAAAAAAATCGAACCGAATCGTCGAACCGTTGAATCGAACTGAATCGAATCGAATTTTCGGTTAACCGAGCAAATTCGGTTCGAATACAAATTCTGCATATTTGATATTTGTTCGGTTCGGTTCGGTTTCGGTTTTTCATATTTTTTTATATTTATGTATTTATAATATTATATTTTAAAATTTATATTAATAATTATATACGGTTCGGATATTTGAAATATTTGTAAATATTTTTTATTTAATTAAAATTTTAAAATTTTTTATATATTTTTTCTTAATTTCGGTTCGGTTCGAGTTATTTGCAAATACTACAAATATTTTCGGTTAATTGAAAATTCGGTTAACCGAAATTTTCGGTTCGAATACGGTTCGCGGTTTCGGGTATTTGTTCGGTTCGGTTCGGTTATCAAATACCTGCATATTTGCAAATAATCGAACCGTGCCCACCCCTAACTATGTATTCATTTGCTTTTTGCACGAAGTTTTAGAAATATTAGTATTATATTGAGATATAGTAGAAATAAAGTATAAATTACTAAAATAATCTTATTAGTATTGTGTGATATAAAAGTAATGACATTTATATAATATATTGTAAGTTGTAAGAGTATGTTAAATAAATAGTACAATTACTAAAAAAATAAATTAATATTTTATTATGAGACATACTAAAATAAAAAAATAAATATTTTATTATGGGACGAAAGAAATATTAAATATTTTTAATAAATGTAAATTAATTTAATTAAATACTGTAAGTAAAATTTTATACATAGAACATATTCAAAATCTTTTTTATTTATATCACTTTTTTCAATAAATAAATATTTATATTTATATTTAATTTTTTAAAATTTTTATGAAATTAATTTATATTGATTATAAATAAATAAAAATATATTTATTTAATTTTATTATATACTTTCTCCATTTTACTTCAAAGGTCATTTGAGATTTTATAGTAGACTAAAAAATAATAGTATTTTATTAGTTAATAAAAGTGCGTGAGTAGTTTGGACATTATTGTCTTTTGACTTTTTTTATGTATAAAATAATTGTATGTTAAATGATATGTTTATAATTTATGTAGAATTAAATGTATTTTGGTATTAATTTATAATTATTTTTATTAAAATAAAAAAATAAAAAATTTGAATGAAAACAACGAAAATAGTAAAAAAGTAATATCTTAAAATTAGGACAAAGAGTGTATAATTTTATTCCGTAAAAATAATATCCATATTATTTATAGTATTTTATTAAAAAATAATATTTAAAATATTTAAATACATATATTAAGTTTCTTATAATTTTATATATTACTTTTTATTTTAAAATATTAATATCAACACTTACATAAAATAAATAATATCAAAAATTTACTATCACCATCTTATAAATTACATTTTTTAAAAACATTTTATCACTAATTAAAAACATCAATTTTTATACAATAATAATAATAATAATAATAATAATAATAATAATAATAATAATGGGCGAAAGATGTGGCGACAAGTGGTGAAAGGAACAGAGACACATGAGTATATAATTGCAGGGGTCCACCCCCTTCGCCAATGGGAACACAACCACAGGTTTATTACAATTAATTTGTAAATATATACTTATTAAAATAAAATACTTATAATAATTTTTATATATTATAAGTATTAGTTTTAATATCATACGAAATAATTTTACTATAACATTTTAATTTTAAAATAAAAATGATTTCACAAATTTGAAAAAAAAAAAAGAAAAAAAAAAAGAGAGTTAATATTCAACCAAATAAACCTAAGTGTGTGACGCCATCAAATCCACCAAATCAATATTATTATTAATTCCAAGTTTCTTGGTGCCTGCCCACAATCTCTCTCACACACATATGTACACATTATATTTATTTAATTTAATATATATTCATCAGAAATAGTATATTGAAATTAATATTAACATTAATTTTACCACACATACGCAGTTTACGTGTGTTGGTTTTGTTTGTCCTTTTTATTTTCATTTTTTTTAAATTAATATATATATACTCCCTTTACTCACTTTTTTTTTTTTTTTTTTTTATATTTTCATTTTTGTCAATTTCATTTATTTTGCTTTAATTTTATTCTAAAAAATTAATTTATAATTATTTTAAATTTTAATTATACTAATCAATTATCTTAATCTATAATTATTTTCACTCATATATTTTTAATTATTTACTAATTATATCCCTCTTAAATTCTCGTGTCTATAGTAAAACGGACAAAATATCTGGAATGGAGGGAGTATATTTTAAAATTGAAATAGTAGTTATATGTAAAATTTTAAATGAAAAATTTGGATATGATACTTTTAAAAAAAAATTAAATAGATTGAAAAAAATTAAGTAAAAATATTTTAAATAAATAAACCTATCAGATTGCAATTTCGGCATATTGTAAATTATATATATATATAGTAAATGACACATTATAAATAAAAATTTATGTCCAATTATGAATATGGGTGGAGCTACAAAAGCGACTGTGTTTGTTTGGAGGTTTGAATTTTAAGTTGAGAATTGAATTGTAAAAAGTTTCAATTAAAATAGTTGTATGATGTGATATAAATAGGTATTGATGTGATGTTTTGAATGTAAATTTGATTTTTAATATAATATAAAAAATAAAAAATAGATGTTTAATTTGATATTTTTGAAAAAAGAAAATTGAATGAATAATTAAAATTATTACAAATCCTCCAAACAAAGACACCCTAAAGGTCTGTTGACGGTCGCTCACCAATCTCAAAACCACAATAATAATAATAATAATAATAATAATAATAATAATAATTGTTTAATTAATTTATGCATTAATTTAATTATATACTAGCGTAAGTACCCTACCCGTGCTACACTCGGTTCAATTAATAAAAATTATAATATAATAATTATATAATTTAAAATAAAAAAATTAACCCACTATAGAATAAATGACAATTAAAATATTTGCAAAATTTAATAAAAAATAAAATAAATTAATCACTTTTTAATTAATTTGTAGAACACATGACAATTGAAGTATTTATTATAATAATGAAATTTGAAAAATTACACATATTTAATATTTGGATTTTTATACTAAAAATAATATTTTCATCTTCATTTTTACCAAAAATAAAGTAATAGGTGAAAAAATTATTAAAAAATTAACATAAAAAACAACACACATTTAAAACTAGAATAAAAAAAATTATGTTCTTATTTATTTGATTTTTTTTTTGTTTCATCCATTGTCATTTTGTTGCATTTTTATCTTGTCCTATTTTTTTTCTTCCTTTTGTATGCCTAAAAATTATGAAAAAAAATATAAAATTACCATAGTATTAGTATTTTAAGAAAAATATTTGAATATTAACACTAAGAAAATAATACACATAACTAATAAAATAAATACGCAAATATATGTATAGAAATAAAAAATAATTTAAAAATATTCAATTAATATATATAATCTTTCTA